AAAAATGCTAATAGCTTTTGATAATTTTTGTCTATTGTTATGAGACGGGTCTTGATAGATTCCTTGGATCATGCTGAGAACAACGATACCAATTATGCCATAATCGACCGAACTTCCCGTCCACCATTTAGATTTTCTTTGAAAACCTATTTTTTCGAACTCCTCCTAGACCTTTAGTTCGATTTTCACCAAATTTGATTCATATCATCTTCAGACCATGCCGACAAAAATCTATCAAAAGACACTGTTTTCAAATAATGCATCACTGAAATTGTTGGCATGCTGCCAAGCTGATACTGAGATTGCGACTCTGCAGCACTGTGGTATATTGACACCAAACTTTTTGTGTCACTGTCACCTCACACTGACCACACCATAACAATTTGATAATGGTGCTACCTATTGTTCAAAAGTGATAAACCAGTAAATCTTATTACCAATGATTATATTTATGATTTTTCAGCCATTTTGACTAAAATCATTCAAAAATGGCTTTAATTATTTAATAATCATTGTTGCAGCTGGTCTGATGCTCCATGCCATGCTAAGCTTCTCATTTAGCCTCTTTTGTGCTTGGCCCCTTAATTGCTGCTTGCAGCTAAATGTATGCTTATATTTGTTCCATAAGCACCATGGTATGTAAACTCCATCACACGGAAAATGATTGGGATTTTAACATTTCCTTTATTTTTAAGTATGTCCTATAAGTAGATAACAATATCAGAAAAATACCAAATCTGCTGCATTTAATACTTGACATTATTTTGAAACCATCTTTCAGTTCATTTATTCTTTGAAGAGAATAGTGTCTATATTTAATACATTTGGTGCATTATTGCTTTTTTTTGTATGGAAATGGAAGAACTTTCTGTGTGTAAATGGAAAATGGAAGAAGCAGGAGTTTGCACCCAAACATGGTTAAGTTCCTTAATACATTAACTTTGTCAGTTTTGCAGCCTGTTATTCTTAGTACTGAAGATGCAGTGAGAATGAATCATCAGCAGCTTTCATTGGACTTTTAATAAACACAAGCGCTCCACTTCACCCTTCTTTTAATTTCAGTGTAGGTACAAGCATTAAAGTTCAACTACTGGAAAAAGTACGAAGTAACGTTGCAATTAATGGTTGCAGCTCACAAATTCCATTGTCAAATTTGTATTTGTTAATGAACCATTCACAGTTTGCAAGGTGACAGCTGTAATCACCCCATATTCTGTGAGGTGAAGCTGTAATTACCATGTGCTGTCCACATGTTACGCCTTTTATTGGACTTTAAGTAAACATAAGTAAAGAGCTCCATTCACCCTTCTTTTAATTTCAGTGTAGGTGTACAAGCATTAAAGTTCAACTACTGGAAAAAGTATGAAGTAACACTGCAATTAATGGTTGCAGCTCACAATTTCCATTGTCAAATTTGTATTTGTTAATGAACCACTCACAGTTTGCAAGGTGACAGCTGTAATCACCCCATATTCTGCGAGGTGAAGCTGTAATTACCCTGTGCTGTCCACACGTTACTATTGCCTGCATTTACATCAGCAACACAATGTAGAAGTATGGCACAACCTTAACCCCCATCTGTCTGAAATGTATTGGGTTTGTTCTTCATGTGTGGAATGGCTGACAGATAACTACTGCCTACTCCTCTGTAATTTACAGGCATTAACCACATTCACAAGGGCCGGGCAGTGGCAGAACGAAACTCTAAGCAACTCCTTAATTTACTATTTTACTTCAATGCATGTCTAACACGAATACATATTTGTATTTAAAAGATGCATTTAAAAAAGAGAAATACATTTGCATTTCAATAATTCGTTTGAAATAAACTTCGACAGATTTTTAAATATTTGAAGCTGACAGACATGTGATGTTTCTTTTTAGGAATTAACATTATGCAAAGCTAATTCCTAGTCCATTTACCATCCAGCAGACTTTAAAATACATGTGGGAGGTTATTCAAAAAGGCACTTGAGTAAGTTTATTTTTCTGCAGTGTTAGTATATCCCAAGAGATTAAAAGGAAAAGGAAAATTTGATGAAATTTTACGCACACTCAGGTTTCCTCATCAGAACATATTTGGAGAAATTTAGCATTACATCACTTGCGGATACATTTTTAATTTTTTTACAAAAATCCACAAGTAATCGTCATGACTTTAGTCCATCAATTAACGTCAATAAAGGCTGGAATACACAACACGACATTACAAATATGAAAAGATTTAAAAACGCTAGGCATCATACAGACTTTGTAAATAGTCACAGAGGAACTGGGCATTCATACACCAAACAACTAAGGATCATGCATTTTCACTATCGCCGACATTTGGATACGATTGTATCCAAATGTGCATTTCTCCCCCTAGTGGCAGTCACACAGAACTTTCAAATTGGTCGTGAAGCAACCATTACCCTCGGTTTATTCATTGTGGTAAAATGCATGATTTTTGTAGGTTTTATTGGGCTAAACAATGTAAATAATGATTTAATAATTAAAAATTTATTATTTCTGCCATAATTATTCTAAACCGCCATTTTACAGAAATAGTGTTTACTGAATAATGTTATAGTGGAAAAATATTGGTAATTCTAACCTCTCGCTCATAGTTTTGATTCGATTACATCACATCCGGTTGGGCAGTCACATACGGTCTAGCCGCAGAGGTTCAGATATTTTAATGCATCCGAAACTCAAATCGGATTCGAAATTTCCACATACGTTTACGATCGGAACTCCACACAGCTCCCGCACTACTTTCCATGGGAAACGATTACTTGTCTGTCGCTGGTCATTTGTCACAGATCGTTGTTCCGGTCACAACAAACTCATGCAAAAAGGTGCACCTTGTTGCTAGGAGATGCACAACAAATGAATGTTCTAACAGATTATGAAATCTGGTTGCCGCACACACATAAAGAGAATCTTCACAGATTTTCTTCCCTCAAATCTTAAGATTTGAAAATCATGGTGCATCACACACTACAAGATATTTTTAAGATTTTCATGCCAGAGGGAGTGCCTCACGTGATCTCACACAGCAGATCATCATTGACATTTCAGCAATGCTTTTAGCTAGCGTGCTAGCAGCTTTCTACACTCTCAAAACAGAGGTGATTTCACCCCAGCACTTCTCTTTGTCCTTATGGTTGTGGTACATTTTCGACAGATTATACAGACAGTCGTGTTATTGCAAAACTTTCACAAGCAATTTCGTCCATCTCCACTATCCAACGGACCCATACAGCAACTTGTTTGGGCTATTGTGAAAGTTCTGACGTAATCATAGCCGTGATCATCCCTATATAAAATCCTAAATATCAAACATGTTTGATATGATCGGGGAGGCCCCGATTTATGTGCGAGCAGATCAGGAGGGGCAAGATTCGATCTGCAAATGCCTCTCATTACCAGATAATCCGTGCTGAACAACATCAGAACCGACCGAGGTTCTTGACTTGATTTTTTCTCCGATTCACGAGTGCTTTGAAAAATGAATGGATCGATGGAAGATTCAGCTGCAGGCGCCATCTTCTGGCGAGACGCAGCAATTCATTTGGTGAGCGATTTTCACAGTGCATTATGGGTATTCTCTAGCCTTTGAGCATACATCAGTTGTACAGTACACTCCTTATTGCTGTGCATTGTGGGATTGAATGAATGCACTCGTAATGTCCACTGAGGTTTCGGACACCACTAAAAATGGCTGTCCCTACAAATAGTGCCCTATTCAAGGGTATAGGGGGCGATTTCAGACACAGGGAAGGTTTTCAGGATCACTTGAAAAGTCACAGGCCATAGTGTGCTAAAGCAGGCTGGAAAGAAACCTTGCAGGACAGTGTGTCCCCAGGAGCAGGGTTGAAGACCTATGGTCTGAAGCAAACATATTGGAGTCTGTGACCATCATACACTCTGCGATTTTCTATGAAATCTGTCAACTAGTGATTTCTACTAGTGAAAACGACTTTTGGCAACTAGTGTTAACTTCTCCTGACTGTAAATCGGGGGAAAAACTGGGCAAAAGTCATGTAGTGTATTCCAGCCTTAAGTCGTTTTTTAACTTCAAACTCTTACTTCTGGCTAAAATACTGGTCCTCCATCCATAATATAGCTTTCTCCAATGAGTAGTTTCGTCTGAATCCGGAGAGAAATATGTCAGAATCAGAATGAGCTTTATTGCCAGGTATGTTTTCACATACAAAGAATTTGTTTTCATGACAGAAGCTTCCGCAGTGCAACAGAATGACAGCGACAGAACAAAAACGTGGATAATAAAAAAAAAAAAAAGTATAAAATAATAATAAAAAAAAAAATATATATATAAATCAAAAATAGAACAAGTAAATAAGGAATAACAATATATAAATTGACAATTGTATGTGCAGGTATATTACAATCAGTGTTGGGTAAGTTACTTTAAAAAAGTAATTAATTACTAATTACTAATTACACCATCAATGTTGTATTTAAAATACTTTACTAATTACTCTGTCTGAAAAGTAATTTAATTACTCAATAAGTAATTTAGCTAATTACTTTGTAAAATCCCTATAAACATTGACTGTATAGACAGTAGAAACTCACATGGTCAATAGAGTCAAACATGGAATAGTTTAAAGCCAACATTTTAGCTTTATTAAAACATGTATCCTTTAACAGAATTCCTCAAAAATAAATTACTTTGCAAAATATCAAGCTGTACACATTACATTTTTCAAAACTAAGAGCACCATATTTTATACATACTGTATACTGTCATGTTCTTCAACAAAATAAACTCCTTTCTAAAGAATTAATTTGCAACATATTGGAAAACAACAAATTAAATTACTCTGCAAAATACCAAACTGTAAACATAGAATTTTTTCAAAACTAAGAGCACCATATTTTATACATATTTTATGCTGTCATGTTTTTCAACAAAAACTAATTTGTACAGAATTCCTTTGCAACATATTTGAATAACAAAAAAAAATTACTCCGCAAAATCCAGGCTGTAAACATTAAATTTTTCAAAAGTAAGCGCACCATATTTTATACATACTGTATGCTGTTATGTTTCTCAAAAAAGTAACTAATTTCTAGTGTTCCGCTGACTGCGCTGCTTTTGAAAAGGTGGTTGTATCTCATTAATGTAAGTCTCTCAAAACGTTTGTCTGACAGTCTATTTCTTCTGGGGGTGAGCACAAGATTGCCCAGGCTGAAAAGCCTTTCCACTGGTGCACTTGATGGTGTGGCTGTGTTGTACCTGAGTGAAATGACCTTAATCCTGGGAAACAGTCCAAGAACACCCAGCTCAGACCCTGCAGATTTCAAATAATCCATGACCTCTGTTTCAGCAGAGTAGGCACAATCTTCCTCCTCGAATGAAAAAAAGTCATCATTGGAGTTAGCAGGCTTGTTGTGGTGTTGAGCATTATGCTGTTGGTCTTCAAGAGGCAACCCACGGCATTCTGTCGTAAGCATTGACCTAACAGTGTCTTTTTTCTCTTCTTCTCTGATCCAGCGTAATTTAAATTTGGGCAAAGTGACTGCAGCCAGGAGAGCTTCTTTATTGTCCATCATAGAGGCAAAGCGTACCTTGATTGCCTATCAGGAAGAAAAAAAAATACATAAGACTTTTCACATTATACAAGAGTATGACAGATAACGTAACATTTATTTAAGCCATAGGTAAACCAAAAATTGAGCAATCTGTATAAACTAAGATTACCTGAACAATGACATCAGGGAGAGATGCTGTCATCCTAAGCTCATCCCGCAGTGCCAGTGTCCTGGACATTAGACTCTCCAGAGTTGGAAGAAGTGTTCCAAGATAGCAGTTATCTTCTCCTTGCAATATGTCTAGTGCTACAGTCAGTGGCTTCAACACAATACAATATTCCTTTAGGAACAGATACTCCCGATCCGTGAAGCATTTTATTCCAAACTGAGTGCAAACAGTATTTAACTCAGCAACTGGAATGTCAGTGATCCTGGACAGGGCATCGTGAAATGAATTCCATCGTGTTGAAGTAGGCACTATGAGTTTTTTTGAGAAAAAAATGATCTACTAACTCTGAAGCCACAGAAACAGAAACAGCATTTCTGTAGATGACTTTGGACTCATTTGCTTTAAGCCATTTCTCAACATCGTGAAAAATGAGGTTCAGTGTGTGTGACGCACACCTTAAGTGTGGAGGGAGAGAAAACTGTCCATCAGAATGTGTGGAGAGAGCCTGCTCAACATCAGTAAATGTCACCTCTTCATCTTCCTCTGACTCCTCATCAAAATCTGATTGTTCGAACATTTTAAAAGCTTTGATAAAATTGGACCCGTTGTCTGTCACAGTTGCTGTCACTTTAGAATTAAGTCCATAAGCAGAATGTACTTGCTCGATTTCATTGGCGATTACATCATACGTGTGTCTCCCTCTAACTCTTTTACAAGCTAATGCAGCATGTCCACGTACAGAAGTAGATGGATCAATCCAATGTGTGGTCATTCCGAGAAAAATTTTGTTATGGCTCGTCCAAATGTCGGCAGTCGTGGAAATATATTCCAAACTCTCGAATGTCTTAAGCTCAATTTCCATATCTGTGTAACACTTATCTAAGTAAGACGAAAATGTTTTTCGATCAGGCAGGGCTTCCTTTTTACCACACACAGGTATTTTGTTTAATATGCGCCTAAAAGATGGCGATTCTACCGTACGCAGCGGTAGCATCTCTTCCACTATGTAGCCTGCAATTATTTTTTTTAGCTCACCTTCGGACACTTTCTGCACTGCCGATGTAAAAATCAAGCTTTGCCTGCTTAGCAGGGGTTGCCGCAGTGTTATCTGTCGATGAACATGGATCACTCAAAAGTGTTTGTCGATGCTGCCTTGTCAAGTGCTTCAGTAGATTAACGTTACTTGTGGAATTGACAGCGGCCGATAGTTTTTTCTCACCAGGACATAGCTTACTTTTTACAGTAATGTTCTTGTCTACCTGTGTTAAAAAAGTGAAGTAATTGGAATATTTCCATTTGGCAAATCTTCTACTTCAGGGACTACCAGCCAACTGGCGCGATTCGCGAACTCACGCGCAAATGTAATACAGCTGATGATTTTAAAGAGGCAGTGTTCACTTTTCCCTTTAGACGATAAATTTAGATTTTAAATTCAATTTTGATTTATACAAAACTGTTGAAATGATTTACAATATGTGTATCGCAAGTACATTATAAGTAACTGTAATTAAATTACCTAAAAATTAAGAGTAATCCCCTACTTTACTTTTTCAGCAGATAAGTAATTTAATTACAGTAACGCGTTAGTACTTACACCCAACACTGATTACAATAGACATTTTTGTATGAGCAGGTATATTATGTGCAAATTTGAGGTGTAGACTAAGTATGTGTGTTAGATAAATAAGTGTATGAGTGTAAAAATTAGGGATGCACGATATATCGGCCACCATATCGGTATCGGCCCATATCGGCTCATTTTTTCTGTTATCGGTATCGAGGCTGGTGTAACACAATCTGGGCCTGGTGCTTTTTTTCTTTTCTGCTTCAGGAAGACCTGGTGCACCTCGTCTTCACTAATTTGAGGTGCAGGTGTGGGGGAGAGGGGGGTTGCAGGAGGTGTGAATGGTTGTGTGGAGAGGTGTTCAGGGCGGGTGTGGGGTGTTTTTTCAAACCTGCAGTAGAACTCATTCAGATCGTCTGCCAGTTGTTGATTCTCCACAGTGCTGGGGGATGGTGTCTTGTAGTTGGTGATCTCTTTCAGACTTTTCCACACTGATGCTGAGTCGCTGGAAGTGAGCTGAGTCCTTAGTTTTTCAGAATAATTCCTCTTTGCCGCTCTGATCTCCTTTTCCAGTGTGTATTTGGCCTGTTTATACAAGACATTGTCCCCCTTCCTGTAAGCATCTTTTCTGGCCTGACGAAGCTGTCTGAGTTTTGCAGTGAACCATGGTTTGTCGTTGTTGTAAGTTAGATGTGTCCTGGTAGGAATGCACATATCTTCACACATACTGATATAAGATGTTAGAGTCTCTGTGAGCTCGTCCAGATCGGTGGCAGCAGCTTCAAAAACACTCCAATCAGTGAGGTC